ATTAAAGTGTTATTTACAAGTATAGAATTAACAAAAATAGTCACTTTCTTCTTCTAAATTTGTCTACTTTTTTCTTAATGAAATTGTATGTTTATTGAAAAAATCTTTAAAAATTTTCTGTTTAATCAATTAAATGGAATAAAACAACAGAATTAAATAATTTTTTTAGGAACTCACGTCTTGGAATATGCATTATAAAAAGTGATTCTTTATAATTTGTAATTATAATTGGTTTTATTGCATATCTTATTTAAATAATGACTAATTTATCAAGAAAAAGTAAAAATATATGTGCTTTCAATTACGTTATATGAAAGTTCAGGTAAACAATGTGTCAATTCATTCAAAGGAATGAGAAAATCATATAAAAGTTTTGCTTAGACATATTGCAATGAAGTAAGTATTGTAAAACTTGTTCAGACTTATTGCAAGAAGGTTGGTTTCGTTTGGTTCAAAATAAACCAATAACAAGTCTGTCACGTGACGCATGTACCGCCAATACCGCCATTATTATTGTATTTTATTTAAATTAGTGTCAAATTGCCTCCCCTCAAACTAGTAACTCTCGATTAGCGTATACCAATTTATAGTACTTATATAGAGGTATTGACTTACTCCCCTCATGCTAGTATATAGGTATTTAGATAACTCGGAATTTACGTATGACGAGAGTAACTTATCGTGAGGGGAGTGTCACTAGAGTTCCCGCGGGCACCGATTTACACTGTGATGCAGTAGGTAATTCACCGCGACCAAGTTATGAGGGGGAAAAACCCTAGAAAGCTCGTAAGCTCCTAGTTCGAAACACCCGATTTAACTTTAAAGTTAAATAGACTATGTAAGTACAAAGTTTTTCATGACTTTTATTCATTGAATAAAAGTAAAGTTTAGATAAAACTTGAATATTTTGAATATTTATTATGTTAAGATTATTAATATAATATTATTTTAATATGTAAACTGGTTATGATCATAAAAAAATTTTATAAAAATGCTATTAAATGAGTTTGTTAACACGTAAAATGGTACGCAAAAATTCAATAAAATTATATGAAATACAAATTGTTTTGAGAAATTTATTTAATAAAAACGTAAGTTAGGGTTATAATTAAGTAAATATAAGTGGAAAAGTGATCGTTTTAAGAGTTTGTACATGTATAAACGTATTTCACACAATAATGTTATACAACAATATAAATTTCTTTTATAATCATGATGGAAGACACTACATAACTAAATTCAATAATGACATCTCATTAAACATAAGAGTTAGCAGTATATATGTAAATGTAAGTTGATAAGTGTTTCATTTTGGTCCCGCTTTAGGGAATACCAATTATTCTATGGAATGCACTTAACATATTACAAAGTATCAATAATTCATTTAAATTTATAGAACAATCAGACGACAAATACACACTTTGTTTTTGCTATGACATTTTACAGCTCCATATTATCTACCATTATTTTAAAAATGTACAAATAATTGTTTAAAAATATTCAGACACATCTTTGATGTTGTACTTTTTTGTTTACTTCCACACAATAAAAGTAATGTACAAGTTCAACTTCATTTGAAGTTTAAATTACGTATACATCATTTTACTGTATAGTAAACAGATAAGACCTCATAAAATTGACTTCACTGGAAGAATCTCTGTATTTAAACATTTAATTTAGCACACTAAAATTCCTAAGCATTTATGTATGAATAACAAAATTATGATGCACTTCAGATGGAAATAAAAAACATTTCTAACGCTATGATAATGATGACATTCTATTATTATCGTACACCAATATGCAGTTATATCAATTCAAAATGAGTTAATATAAAAATAATTAATGAATTATTTTTAATGTTACATGTATATGATGTGCATACTTTTTTGAGGGAGGTTGCACAACTATGCAAATTACAGCTCATCTTTCACGTCAAGATCTATATCGCTAAGGTCGATATCTTCTTCTTTTGGAAGTTCAGCGTCTTTACCATCCCATGGTGTTCTTGTAAGAATTTTAGGTAATTGAGCACCTTTTAATGGGGCTGTACCTCCTCGTCCATAACTTAAATCTCGTAAAAATTCATCTATCCCGACATACGAGAAACTTCCCTTAAGTAATGAGTACTTCATTTTCTTTATATTTACAACTGCTAATGCTGGATAGCCAAAACCGCCTATTTCTAATGCTTCTTCAATGTGAGGTTGAGAATTAGCTTCTGCCCAAACCCATCTATTAAAAGAAAAAGGAAAACAGATATTTTAATAGTCTAAAGTAAAAATTTACCTCTATACATTGTCCGATATTTGTACATACCCCCACATTTTCTGCTTGTACTTCTCACCAAGCTCATCCAGTATCTTCAAATAATTTTTCCTACATTCAGATTGACAATCTAAGATATGTGGCAAAACTGATATAACACATAATGGTTTGTCTTCACATGCAAATTTCAAAGAATCCTCATTCACAATCTGAATTACTTCTGGAGCTGGAACGTTCTCAGCCAATTTTTCTATCGCCCAAGTTACAATATCACTGCTTGTTCGACCACCATCATATTCTTGTACAGAATCAAACGATTTTTTGCCAGGTGCAAAATATTTAATTGTAGGATATCCTTTTATTTCGTATTGACTAGCCTGTAATAATGTTACATTAAATGTATGGAAGAATATGTTATAAATTTATATATAATTTATTTTAAAACAATTTACTTACTTTCACTTTATTCACAGTAGCGTCGAGAGCTCCCAATTTTACTTTTCCTTTTAGTTCTGTGGCAGCAGCTGCCCAAGTAGGAGCTAGGTTCTTGCAGTGACCACACCAAGGTGCATAAAACTCAACCAACCACATGTCTTCAGAATTCATTACTATTTTATCGAAATTTTCATCTGTCAATTCAACAACATCTTTGGAATCTTTAGACTATAACGAAAACACCATTTTTTAATATTTGTGCATATTTTCTATTTATTATCACTGTATGTTATGTCACTACATTTACCTTAGAATCTCCACTGCTCTTTTTCCCACCTAACCCTCTACGCGCCCTTTGATTAACTGCATTTAAAACAGTATCTACAATTCCTGCTGCAGTTCTAGGTCCATTATAATCTTCTGGCTTATCATTAACACCAAATATTTTAATCGTTGGGATACCTTTGATTCCATATTTTGAACCAAGGGTCGCATCTTTGTCTGCATTTACTGCGCCAAACTTTACAATACCCTGGTAAAAATTTATAATTAAAATGAAGAATTCAGTTTAGAGGAAAATGACAATGTAATTAATAAACATGCTACAATTACTTTTAAAGCAGTAGCAGCCTTATTATATTCAGGTGTTAACTGTTGACAATGTCCACACCATGGTGCATAAAATTCCACAACCCAAATATTATCACTATTCAATACCAAATTGTCAAAATTACTTGAATCAACATTTACAACATCTGAATTGGAATGGTACAGAGAATGAGCTCCAGTAATTAATATCAAGATACCTAAATAAAACAGATATTACGTATAAGATTCATATAAATGTAATAAGAAAGCTTATTTAAATCTCAGTAAAAACATATAAAAATACATTTAACAAGATAATGTAAAAGCATTATAATAGATATGCCGGTTGATTTAATAATAAAAATTCACGAAGCAACTAAAAAATATTACTTCACAAAACTTACCTAAAAGACCTTGCATTTTTCTTAGCAAAATATCAGGAACTTTACGATCGCCTTTAAAAAAACATTTACTGAAAAATCTTTGATTAAATGTAAGATTGAAACGAATACAACCTCTTCCCACATAAAAAGTTCAATCGCTCTGTTCAGTACCCCACTCTTTATAACCACATATCACTTTTCGTGGATCATTCTGATTGGTTCCCGTAATCAACGTCCACGCGTTACAAAAGAAATAACGTCAGTAGAATGTTAATTTTTTGAAATCATCTAAAATAGCTTCATTGTAGGTAATTAAGAAAATATAATTACCATCACTTTCTGATTTTAAAATTATTTCTTACTACATATAATGTAAAAATAATATATTTATTTTACAAAACTGAATTTAGATTGAAAATGATTCAAAACAATTTAAATCCATGTAACCGGAAATGTATAGCATAGATGTATGCGTTAGGTTAATCATTCCCCCCTAGATTTGATTGATTTTTATGTGTTAACATATATAATGTATGATACTATAAAATATTGTAATACAGCGTATCCTAAAAGTTTTTTTCACTTTAGTCAGTGTTTTAATTTAGGTCTTTCGATAATTAAGATCATTTTCGATATGGTTTAATTTAATATTTTCAATTACAACATTCGATATATTACATACCCTTATACATATATGTATATATGTAAACACCCGTACCCTATGTATAATTATATTACACACTGCTTATATTCAATGTATTTAATGAAACTTAACGAACATAAAAAATTTCGCAAGATTCGATTGGTCATGCATTTGTAGTTTGCATTGTAAATTTAGTATATCACGTTTTGCATTTTTTTCTTTTATTCTCTCTCCTATTTATAATTACGATTATAAGCTTTATATATTTCCATTCTGTTTATGCATATTGTTTACGTTTTTTAATGATGGTTGATAAATTCAACTATTAAAGTGTGTGGAAGTTTGTTGTTCAAAATCCATTCTGTTGTCACAAACCACGGATGTCGGGGTTCATTGTTAATTTATTACTAAGAAATTGTATTTTACGATTATTTTGCCAGATGTGATATTTGAATGTGTGACTTCAAGTTTTCGCGGTAGGATGGTCATGAACGCATAAATCAAGGAAGTTTAACTGAGTGTTTGCAGACACTATAGTGACATTCCCCTCACGAAAAGTTACCCTCTCCATACCCACTTTTACCTAGTGTATTAAACACTAGCGTGAGGGGAGTAAGTTAGATACCTTTGCTCTAATCTATTCAAAGATCCTGTTCAGTCCGTTGATGGTATATTACCAACAGTATAATATTTAATTACCGTTTTGTTTTACGTATAACTAGCTGAGAATATACTTAAATACTAGCTCCATATTGCTCCCGTAATTTTACATTTTTACGGCTTTCTTAATGCCTTATTTCTATTTTCATTATTTCATGACGTAATCCGACAGGTTTGCGAAAAAGGGGAATAGTAATGAGTGGTTATCAATAAAGACGAAGATAAAATAGCTTCTCACAATTTCTCGTGCGTTTCGTTGAATTTCACGGATTTCGTAAAGTTACAGGAAAAATAGTGTATTTCATCTTTATGTTAGAAATCATGTATTTCGTGTTTTATCTTACATACATGAGTGACGTGAATGATTTGTAACCACTAAATTGAAAAAGAATTACAAATAAAATACAGTGTTCTTTATTGTTTGTAACTTTTATTGCTTAGTTTTCAGAATAACGAAATATTTAAATACTGTTAAAATAAGAAATGAATTTTTGTTGTAGACATTAACAATAAATAGTCGATGTTGAAAATAGTTTTAAGCCACATAAATGAAAGAAATTTTAAAAAATTTACAAAATAATATATAAGCAACAAAAAAAATCTTTACACAGAAAATACTTGAAATTAGTCACAATGGTAATTAAAATTTATATTTTTATATTAATTCATTAATCATTGATTTTATTTATCGTGACATCTAAAATATTAATAAGAGAATACATTTTGTTTAATATAAAAAGATACTAAATTATTATTTTTAATGTAATATTCTTTAATTATTTAGTTATATAAAAGTATAATTATATTATTATACATTTTTCATGCTATATATTATTATTAGGTATATAAAAAATAATAATTAAATGTGATTTTTAGCATGGAAGAGTAAAGGTACGCACAACTGCAGAACAAGAAGCAATAAAAAAGAAGGAAAGAGCAAAGAAACTTGTTCAATATAAAACTAGCATGAGTTTAATATTTCAAAAAGTAATTTCCCTTTAATATCTACTTTATATATATTCATATTTTATTAATACTATAAATTTGTATAAATAAGTCATAATTGATGGTAAAGTCAAAAAAGCATAGATGCATTAAAATTTGAAAAGTATTATATAATTTGAATGTTTCAGAGAAAAGATCAAATTTATGATGACGAATTAATGATGGTTACTGAAAAATTACTAATAGGGAATCCTGATATTTATACATTATGGAATATTCGTAGAGAAGCATTTATAAAAAATGATTGGTATTTATATTAAATTTATTTTAATTTATCACATAATAATAGTAATGAAAAAATGACATAGCTGAAAACTGTATCGATTAAAATAATTATAATTATTTAATGAATAACTTATTTATGAAAAAACCAATCTTGTAAGTTATTCATTCTATAATATTCAATAGATTGCTTAAGATATTTTTTTAATAATAATTATCTACTGTCAAATTATTTATTAATAAGATATTCATTTATATAATTATAAATTTAAAGTAAATGATATGATAATAAAATCTGTTTAAACATGTAGGAGTGAAGAACGCTTAAACGAATCTCATCAACATGAATTAGTTCTTACTGAGAATTGTCTGAAGTATAGTCCTAAATCATATTATGCATGGTACCAAAGAATATGGATTATGGAACGTATGATAAAACCAGATTGGAAAAGAGAATTGATGTTATGCAGTAGGTATTTAGACATCGATGACAGAAACTGTGAGTTACAATTATTATGAATTTTGTTAAATTGTAAGTTTAAGATTTAGTGAAGTACCAATACCTTTTTTGTTTTAGTTCATTGCTGGAATCATAGACAATATGTTGTACAGAAAGCAGGGATTTCTCTTGAAGATGAATTCAAATATTCCACCTCAAAAATTCTAAATAATTTTTCTAATTATTCTTCTTGGCATTATAGAAGTCGACTCTTGTCAAATATGTTTAATGACTGTGATTCAGAAACCATTGATCAAAGAAAAAAAGACGGTAATATCTTTATTCTTTATTTATTGTTACATAAATTTATCATAAAATTATTGTATATATACTATGATAATATGTATATGATCCACATATACTTTTTTTTAGAGTTGGAGTTAGTGATGAATGCTACATTCACAGATCCAAATGATACTAGTGCATGGTTTTATCAAAGATGGTTATTGGATTCTCAAGACTTTTTCTCTACCCTTTCTCAAGTTTTATTGCAAGATGATAAAATAATTCTTTTCATTGATCAATCTATATCATCAGAATCTATAGTATTATATATTAACAATGAAATTGAACCAGTTCAATGGAAGTTTTGGCAGGAAACAAAGTTTTCTAAATTGTGGTTTGGAAAATTAAAAAAGCAATTGAATGAAGTAAAGGAGATCCAAGTTGCCATTGAAGGAAAAGTTTATCTTGTATCTTATTTTAATCAAAAATGGATTTATAAGAAAAGGAAATCCAGATCTAGTCATAATCAGGATCAATTATTGGATCAATTGTCAAATTATAAACAACTTATAGAATTAGAACCCGATAATAAATGGGCTCTTCTAACTGCAGTACAGTTAATGAGAAAAATCGATTTTGTAAAATTTTATGGTGATATTTTAACAAATCTGAATACTCTGCTTAATGTTGATCCTCTTCGATTTAATTATTATAAAGATTTACGTAAGTATATTTAATTAAATTGTGAAAAATGAAATGGTTTTGTAGCATAATAATCACTCTTATTTTTTATTTAAGAATACTTACTTTATACAGTTTTAATTAAATTATGAAAATATATTTTTCAGGGAGTAAATATGTTATAGAATATACATTGT